TTTTTTTCATTTTCTCTTGATTTTCAGTAATTGTCAGATATCAGATGTTGTGAAACTTAGTCTTTCCTTTTTCCCATTTTGCTTTACATGCTTCTTTTACCATAACCAGGATTAGAGAAGACATCTCTCCTTTCTTTTTCAAACTTGGTGAGGCCATGCTAGAGTTGCTGGATCATGCTATTTCAGTGATTGAAAAAACTTACAATGATGCTATCTCCGGTTGTTGGGGCTTGAACTCTCTTTTCAATAACGCAGAATTGACAGTGGCTTCTTTTAAAAGCTTTATTAGCTCACCTCTGCTTAGCAAATGGCCAGAGAAAAATAACACCAGTAGGGGGCTATATTCTAGAATTATTCAGTCAGCCGAGAAACTTTTGAAAGGTCTAGCGAAACTGTATGAAGGATGTTCAGGGCACAGAATGAATATTCATGCTAACATAACCTCTCCTGACTTACCTTCTGTCTTGGATTCCGTTCCACTTGGTAGAAGCAAAAGTTTGATTTTAGACATGGAGTTGGATATGAATGGTGGATCGATGCATGTTGATAGTTTAGCTGTTGATGGTGATGGTGACCATACATCTGGAGCTTCCATTTCATTCGTGAATCAGAAAATGGACCTTTTGTTAATCATGTCAAGTTTTCTCCCAATTTTACCATCACTTACCTGGGAAATTTTGTTTAATCTCAAGGAGACAGAGAGTAATCCAAAGGTATGCCCTCTCATAAGACTTTTCTCCCAAAAATATTTTACTATACTGTTTACGCTAGTTAAACTTTCATGGTAGAGCAGGTTTCAGAAAAGTTCCTACTCATCCTTTGTCAGCATCCTCACTGGTCTTCGTGTAAACAGCTATTGGATTTGGTAAGTTGGCCCATTTCATTCTTTTTCTTAGTGTGTGTGTAATTCATTTGTTTGGTCCTTGTTTTTTTTTTATTTTTTTGGAAAGATCAAGAAACTTCTAGTCAATTTGACCAACTGCAGGTTACATCGATGACTGATATTATACACAGCAGGGCAAATCTTAAACTCCAAAGTTCATATGTACTTGGTGGCATTTGTAATTTGGTGGGAAGCCTTCTACATTTAGATGGAGCAGGGAAGCATGAGACCGTTACTTATTCTTCAAGGGAAAAATTGTTTGATGAGGTAAGCAAGATAAGTTGAGTTTTTAAACACGTGAGAGTTGATTTTGCTTTTGCTTCCTAGAACTTTTAGGTGCGGAGCAAACACACATAAAATCTAGTCTTATCAAGGAGATCAGTAACTTTACTAGGAAAGATTTTGTAGGTAGTGCTGTAATAGAAATTACCTAGTCAGCTTTAGCATTTTGAGCTTGTGTTCCATCATGTTCGAACACTGTCTGTGTTTGTTTGTTCGTTCATTATTCGACCGCTTGTTCATTTGATTGTTTGTTAAATTTCAAGTTTGTCCGTATTCGAATAATTTAGTAAACAAGCTTACTAAAATTGTTTGATTATCTTGAGTTCAGTTTGTTCGAAATTGTTCGAGCTTGAAAATAACGAAAGATTGAAAATACAAAATGTTTGTTTTGGCACTCTATAATTTCCTATAAGAAATATTATACATATAATACAAAAATAGATAAATTGTATATTAATTTAATGTTTGCAAACATTATCGAACGTTCACGAAAAAGATTTGTGTTTGTTTAATTAAGAAACAGGCGTAATTTTTTGTTCGTGCCCTGCATGATCTATTAGGTAACAAGTGAGCGAGCTTTTGTTCGTGAACATTTGTTTGTTTAAGCTCTTTTTATGAGCACGTAAAATATTTCTGCCATACTATAGCGCACCAAGGTACTGAAGAAAGGAAAAGGAGATACAATGGGGCATTTTCTACAATTAACTGCCTAATTGAACTTATCCCTTAAAGCGAGCTCAAAGGGAGAGTGTGAGCTATCTACACTTATACTCATTAACAACCTAGTTATTATTGATGAGTGACAAGTATACCTTCTAGCACCCCTTGTGATTGTCGATGTTTGACAACCATAAGCCTGCTATGCGTGACAATCCAAATGGGTAGGTCCAAACCCAACACCCACCTAACACCACCCGGAGGGTCCCCAACCACACTTGTGCACAATAATAACCCAGTGACTAAGTAGGAAATAACTTCTAACTCTAATCAATTAGGAGAAACACGTGAACTAACGCCTTCCATGAAGATTAGTTAGAATTGCAATATTTAAAGAGCTTCTCAAGTATTGGCTTCAGAAGAGATCATATTGATTTTTCCAGGTGGTGGAAAGACCGCATTGAGTGAGATCAAATAGTCTAAAAAGAAATGAAGAAACGAGGGCTACCTTTGAGATGGCTTACTAAGGATGCATTACAGCAGAGACCAAATAGTTTAAAGGAATAGAAAAACGAGGGTACCTTTGAGATGGCTCGCTAAGGATGCATTACAACCTGCTGATTGAAACATTCTCTGCTGATTGAAACATTTGTTTTACGTTGACTATTGCGTGACAGGGCAATCACGATGGATCACTATCAGTGCAATATAAATATGCTATTTAATATTAATTTCATTTTTATCATTTTCTTTTATTTTTCATGATATATAATTATTTAATATTTGATCAATATGTGTACACACACACACACACACACAGACATATATATATATATATATATATATATATATATGTATTGAATACAAAATTTCATGGTTCTCAATTACGACATTAGATAAATTATTGATTTATTAACTCATTTTTTATGATTTAGCAAATATATGTTATGGACATTTTGAATTATATTTTTGAGCCAATTATTCACGTTGTGATTCAATAGTTGGCCCATTAATTAATCTTTTTAATATGTGCTTGTAATAGTTGTTTACATATGTTCTATATCCATCTTCTACATAAATTTTAAACTTATGTGAGAATTGGTACAACTAATACCCAAAATATTATATTGCATTACTCCAGTATTGTGCAATATACATTTATAATTTGCATTATGAGATAACTTTAGGGTCATTCGTTATTTCGTGTCTGTTAGATTTATGTCGTTCACTCATAATGTTTGAGTGGAAAATTGTCAACTCTTGTTTAACCAAGTTTCTCTTTTGTTTTCAGTGTTTGATATCACTTGGAGATTTGGTCAATAAAGTCTTCGAGAATAGTTTTTTGGATTGGTGTGATCGCTCTAAGCTTGTTGACTGCATATGCAGTTTTATTTCACTTAGACCACAAATTGCTCAGGTAAAATTGAAACAACATTAGAATCTTGTCTTTTCAGCTCTGTTTTCCGCATTTATAATTACAGCAACTGGTCTATAAAATAATGGTTGCATGTTGAATCTGCTGTTCCTGACTCCCTTTCAGCAGTCGATGATTGATAAACTGTTGATGCTGCTCCGGGATCCTGATTATCGAGTTAGATTTTGCGTTGCACGTCGGATTGGTGTTCTTTTCGAGACATGGGATGGTCATTTAGAGCTTTTCCAGGATGTGTGGTAAGTATTTAAGGTTAAGGTGGTCTATGAGTTTTTTTCTTCATCCTACTTACTTGTTTACTCTTTATTCTTTTTTTTCTAAATCTTTTTTTTTAAAAAAATCCTTTTTTTAATCTCTCTCTCTCTCTCTCTTTTTTTTTTT